CCCCAAAACCCCAAAACCCCAAAACCCCAAAACCCCAAAACCCCAAAACCCCAAAACCCCTTGGGGTAATATAGTATTGAATGGTCTAGATTGGGTGAATATAAACTAAGGGAAAGTTAGTCGTCATATTTTTTCTCTTAAAGATGTTGCAGAAGTATTTTCTGAACTTTGATTCTTTCTTTGGAGTAGTTGCAGCTAATTTAGCAGTTTCGGGTTTAAGCTTTGCTGCTTCTTCGTCCTCTTCCTCGAACAACTTAGAAGTTATATTCTCATATTTCCCATCAAAGTTTGTTTCTTTCTCAATGAATTCATCAGCCTTCTTTACTACAAGTTTACACTCTTCTTCTTTATCAGAAAAGAGGGTTTTGAGTCTGTTCATTCCTATCCAAGTGTACATGATCATGAGTTGCTCTTCTTTATCTCCAGCATTCTTAACATTCTCAGGAGTGTGTTCTAGTATAATAAATATACTTACTGCACTTCTTCCTCAGTTTTGTCACATTCTAGCAAAATATTTTCATCCCAAGAGCCATCAACCTTCTGGAGAGCAACATAGCTTTTATAATTGGGATAGTTGAATTCAACCTTAACACCAGATTCTATGCCAACTTTCTTGATTTCAGTTTCTCTGCTAGGATTGATTCTTCTTCCATTGATGAAGACCCTAATCTTGTCTTCATCTACATCGAACATCCCCGAAATTTGACTCTCCAATTCTCCAAATTGGAGAGTGTTATAATCACACTCAACATTATTCTCTTTCTTAGTAACCATATTTTTAATTGTGAGGCCATTTCTTCTCTCACCTCCCCCGCTAAGTCTTAAGACCATATGAATAGTACTTCCATTTTTGATAAAGTACTCACCAAGAGTAAATCTATCGTCTAGTTGTTTTCCTGTAAAGATAAATCTTTGCTGATCTGGAGGAATTCCCTCCACATATTGAATGGCCCTTTTAACTTCATCAATAGTGCTGCTGCTGGCCATTTCCATTTCTAATATTTCTCCGATGAGAGTACAGACATAAAAGTGGATTTCCCTGTTAATCATATCAGAGTCAACCTTCTTATACTCTATTCTGTTTTTCCTGATTAACTTCTTGACAGCTATAGGCAAGGCATCATAATCAGAACTAACTGGGTTGGTGAATTCCACCAGAATTTTTGAAGACGAAAGAAATTTTTACTTTACTTATTTAGCAAAAGATATCAATGCATTGAAGAATGATGAGAAATACAATATCAGAAATAATTCCATCTTACGCAAACCCTATAGAGAGGGTGTGATCGACGAAAATGGAGAAGCATTGCTGGAAGACCCTAACTCCATGCAATAGTCTCATCCTCGCTACAAATTCCTCCATTCTTCGATGAACAATGGCGCACTTTTATTTGAAATAGTTAATTTTATTAATGAGCATTTGGAATTACATCGTATTTTGGCAAAAATTAGGCTAAAACTTGGAAAAGCAAGAGGCTCCGTAGACAGAAATTCAGCCAAATAAATGAACTCAGAAGGATGGATGATTCTCGAAGGCCTCAATTTGTTTTCAGCCATCATGAGGCCCAAATTTCTCCCTTTATTCCTTATGAGCCCCAAAATTCATTTTCAATATTGATCGTGTTTTATAGATTTCTTCAAACAAAGATATTACTTTATCATATCTGTCAAATTTACAGCTGGTTAAGTCATAGCAACTGTTTTCCTTGAGCAACTGCATCGTCATACTTTACTTTAGCTCTCTTCTTTTCTTCAACACAAGCCTTGATTATCTCATCTCCATATCTAATCTCCAGGTCTGTGAAAGTACATTCACTGTGAACTGGGAACATGTATTGCACTTCAATTGAATCAATTCTCTTGTTGAAGTAGTACTAAATTAACTTGATCTCAGCAATGTTATTATGAATAATAACCTCATTCTCTGCAAAATCCAAAGGAACAGTAATTTGGCCTGATTTATTAACCAAAGCTTAATATTTATAATCAACCGGAATCTCATCAGCCTGTAGAATAGTCTCCATGGTATAACCCAAAGATGTTTATATGTTATACATCCTCTAACCCTATCTTTCTCATACCCAACTCCTCCCCCACAACCTCCAAAAGGTCTCTCCCGGCACCCCCATAACCCCTCCAACCTTCTCTCCAAATATTAAAATTTCCATTTCTCCCAAAGGGGTTTTGGGGTTTTGGGGTTTTGGGGTTTTGGGG